CAACATCATTCAACCCTCTTCCTGTGAGCCCAGGCTGTTGATAGCACACATCTTGGGGAGCCTCATAACATAGCCTGGGCTCACAATGGAACACTGAGCGCCAGACTAGAGCTTAAAAGTGGCTATAGATGGTTTGAAATTAGCTCAGGTCAGTAGGGACTAGTCAAATTTTGATCCATGTGTGGCCACTGCAGTTAAACAGAAGTTGAGCTATTGAGCGACTTGTGTCCAACTGTCCTGTCGGGTAAATGCCACTCGATCAGCTTCTGCAGCCCATGGTCAGCGTATTCTGATAGTGGGGCAGTCTCCCCACAGTCAGAATACAAAAATACAGTGGGGAGGATTCCCCTTATCCACCTCGAATGTGTATATGGGTAACTGGTTCACTTTTTTACCGGGATATGCTGTCACTTCAGAGTGCATGCACCGGTGACGTCACTGGTTGCAGAAGCAGTGAATATCTCCTAAAGGGTGCACGTTTAGGAGATATCCCGTGTACTTACAGGTAAACCTTATTATAAGCTTACCTACAGGTACAAGTATCCAAGTGGAGATTACTGCCGCTTTAACCCTGATGAAGGGGGTATTTTCTGACCCCTGAAACACGTTGGCTTTATGACATTCTTTTAGGCCATCCTTGGTATAAATTTATAACTGGACTTCAAAATTTATGGTGTGGCAATCTGATTCTTTCAGAAGTAGTAATAAAGGGACAGAAAGAAAACTAGTGCTGGGCATTATTAATAGGTTACATCTAGAAATCGAGGCGGCTCCACTTTTGGAAACCACAGAAGATTTTTTGTTTAGTCAGGAGTTCTTTAAGGACTCCTTCCACAAGGCCTCAGACATGAGACAATGGCTGTCTCACCACATTATGGAGAACATTCCTGACGGCGAGCTAAAGACTTCAACCTGTGTAAATATTATAGCACAAAGGGGAGCTCTGCCGGTGTGTGCCGAACCCCAGACTCCGGGTGTGTTACATAATTACACTTTAATGTACAGTACAAGAAGGAGCTTCCTGAGCTTCGCACAAGCTCAACATCACCTATTATCCAACACCAACAAGAGAAGGCATTAAGCTAAATCCATGACTGGTCTGGGCCTCCTTCATGGGCCTTCAGGGAGGGGGTAGATTTACATTAGATCTGCTGCAATTTATGAATGATATGGAACACAGCCAGGCAGGTTGGAAGATTGTGAGAATGTTCAAGGCTGTGTAATGCAGATATATTTGCTGTATTATGAAGAATAGACTAGGGATTCTAAAAATGTTTAGATAAAGTCTCTTTTGAAAAGGTCAGCAAAAAACCAACAGCAATGATGATCTGTACTTTTCAGGTGATGTACAGTTGAGGGCATATCACTGCATTTACACATATTGAGTCATACATGTTTTATAATGAGCTGATGCTAAGAATTGTGTATGTGTAACAGAGTACAGCACAAGGTGTGACAATTTAATTCCCGGAAAAAATGTTTGAAGGTGACAACAGTCGCCAGTGTATTGATAAGCAAAGTAGTCTCCTTGTAAAGTGACACATTTTTCTAGATGACCGTGCCACTGCCAGCAACATTTCTGGAATTTGCTCTCCAGCACGCTGCACCGTATCTTTTTCGTGGCATGCTGGATGTCTAGAATGTCGTCAAAATTTTTTACATTTTGGGGCAGTGCCACCATAAGTGTATAAAGGTACCCTCCCAGGCGCAACCCCTCCAACAGTTATGGTCTGTGCCTGGGAAATGGTTATACATGCCCTTAACTATGGAACTGAAGGTCTTTTTTTTAAAAAAAAAAAAAAAACTTACGGGCAGGCAGGTTTTTTTTTATCACAGAGGAGACATGCAATATCTTTTCTGCAATAAAATACACCTAGCTGCTTGCCCACAGCCTTCTGTGGTATGAAAACCTGAGCTATGCATGCACAGCTTAGTTTACATGACCAGAACAGTCCCTGTGTGGTGGGATGACTGACTCCAGCTTGTGCGCATTAGTCACATCATCCTACGCCAGCCAATGATGATGCCCAAAGAACAGCAAGTGGAAGGAGACATGGAGAAGATGCCACTGCCAGCAAAGGACCATGGCAAGGGAATCTTGTTGCTGATGTAACCAAGAAAGGGACTGAATCAGCCCACTAGCCTCCACCTATAATTATGATGGTGCCCAAAGACCAGCAAGTGGAAGGAGACAGGGAGAAGATGGCAGAGCCAGCAAAGGACCATGGCAGGGGAATCTTGTTGCTGGTGTAACCAAGACAGAGGATGACTCAGCCCACCAGCCTCCACCTATAACTATGATGATGCCCGAGGACCAGCAAGTGGAAGGAGACATGGAGAAGATGCCAGAGCGAGCAAAGGACCATGGCAGGGGAATCTTGTTGCTGATGTAACCAAGAAAGGGGCTGAATCAGCCCACTAGCCTCCACCTATAATTATGATGGTGCCCAAAGACCAGCAAGTAGAAGGAGACAGGGAGAAGATGTCAGAGCCAGAAAAGGACCATGGCAGGGGAATCTTGTTGCTGATGTAACCAAGAAAGGGGCTGAATCAGTCCACCAGCCTCCACCTATAATTAAACTATCACTTATGGGTGGACAGTTCCATTAGCAGTGTTTGGAAATGAGAAGAGTCTTTACAATTAGATAATAAAAGCCTCACAACACTCAGGCATCCTCCTTCCTCACAGTCACCTTATGACCGTGTGTTCAGATAGAGAATGCCATACAGTGGGGTTTGATAATTGCGCTCAGATTTTCAGAGCCATGCTGAGCATGTAAAACAGACAAACCGCTGAGATATGTGTGCAAATACAACACTGGGCCTCCGAGACTACATGTGAGGTCTGCAAAGAACACGCTGCCCACTGCTACCTTCTAGATTAAATCTCATGCTAATCACTAACATATTTCATAAACATTAGGCTGGGAAAGGCAACGACAGACAGAAAACTCAGCATCGGAGATGGGAATCCGAAAAGTATTGTATGCTGAAGGTTCCCTGACTAAGGGCCCATTCACACTATGCTGTGATAATGCATTTTTATTTTGCATGTTAAAGCATGCTTCATTAACCACCTAACTACCACGCCATTACAAAAACTGGCGGGGTGGACCCAATTTTCTGGAGCATTGCTTATAAACATGCATGTGTGGCCAGTGAGCTCCTTGAATGCCGGTGATAGAGCTGTGATTAGACAGCTTGGATCACAGGCAAAATGCACACGGCTCTATGCCTTGTGATAGCTGTGACCACAAGTATAAACCCAAAATGGGGTTGATTTACTGAAGGCACATAGACTCTGCACTTTGCAAGCGCAGTTGCACCAGAGCTTAGTAAATGAGGGAAAGCTCTGACTTCCAACAGCCAACCAAGTGCAAGAAAAAAATGCTGTGTTTTTTATTTTAATTTTCCTTGCATGTGATTGGGTGTTCTTTTCAAAGTGAAGCTTTCCCTCATTTTTATCTCTGAAGCAAACGCACTTGCAAACTGCACAGTCTATATGCCTTTAGTAAATCAACCCCACTGTAAACAAACCCACCCATTCCTCCTCTTCCATCAATCGTAATGACCCAACACCGTGTCACTGTTAGCAACAATGCCAGCACAACACTGTCCACAGCATCCACCCATGTGCAATGAAATTCAATATATGTGCTTGCGGCACAGTGGTTCGTCCTTGAGTTAAAGTGGTTGTAATTTTTTTTTTTTTTAACCACTTCCAGACCGGACACTTTTACCCCCTTCCTGTCCAGGGCAATTTTCAGCTTTCAGCGCTATCACACTTTGAATGACAATTGCGCGGTCATGCAACACTGTACCCAAATGAATTTTTTACCATTTTTTTGAGACAGATAAAGCTTTATTTTGGTGGAATTTATTCACCGCTGGGATTTTTATTTTTTTTGCTATGTAATTGAAAATGTCCAAAAATTTTGAAAAAAGTGTTTTTTTAATAAGATTTTGCAATAAATAATATTTCATCATAAATCTTTGCCAAAATTTATTCCGTTATCTTTTTAGTAAAAAAAAAATCCAAATTAGTTTATAACCAAAAATTATAATTTTTTAAACATTTTTTTTAAAATTTTTTTTAATTTTTTTATATTATTATTTTTTTTTTTTTTTACATACTGTCACCTAACACAGGCATGTCCAAAGTCCGGCCCGCGGGCCATTTACGGCCCGGGGGTCGGTTTAATACGGCCCTCCAACAGCCCTCCCTGCTCTGTGTAATGTGGCCCTCCCACGGCCCTCCCTTCTATGGCAGACAGTCTTCTGCTTGAGAGCAGAGGGCAGTGCGCATGCCTGACTGCGGCGCGTTCTCCCTGGTCTGTGTAAATGCGGCTGTCGCACGGCCCTTCCTTCTGTGGCAGACAGTCTTCTGCTTGAGAGCAGTGCGCATGCGTGACTGGGCCGCGCTGGGAGCAACAGAGGGGGCGGTGACGTCAGGGCCGGGCTTCCAGCGTGAAGTGTGTTTCTCTTCCCCTCCCGGCTGCCGAGCAGAGACTTCAGCTCCAGCTACCTTTTTGACCCTTCACATTAGTGCAGGTAAGTTTTTTTTAAATTTATTTTCAATACATTGTGAAAACTCAGCTGTCAGTTGATCTTAATGTTATGAAATGAAAAGTATGTCGTTTGCAATTACTTTGGCATAAAATAATTTATTTGCATTTAATTGTAATGGTTCAAAGAATGTTCGGTTAAAAATGTTCGGCCCTCCACCATGTTCACTTCATCCAATCTGGCCCTCTTTGAAAAATGTTTGGACACCCCTGCCCTAGCAGTACATTTTTTTTACTCCATGAAACTACTAGGGAAGCAAGACCATTCCTAGCGCCAGAAGAAACCCCCAAAAAAAACCAGAATGATGACTTGTGAAGAGTGGAGTGGAAGCCGAATACATATACAGAACCTGGAGGACGTCTCCTGGAGATAATGTGAAACAAATGTGACTTTCACATGAATTTTTTCCACATGTCCTGAGCTTCACCTCCTACCTGGTCCTGTCGCCATGGAGACATCTCTTCCAGATGTGGAGTGTCTTCCTCCCATCGCGGCGGACGATTCTGACCGGTTTTGCTTCTCCCTTTCGCTTTCCTTTCGGATGACGATGACGGCCTCTCTGTGCAGCTTGGCTTTGTGCAGAGCGCTCAGAGCGTCACCGTGGGGCGCCCCGTGCAGAGAGCAGCCATTGATGGACAGTATGCGATCCCCTCTCTCCACCGTGACGTCTTGTGATGAGGCCGCTTTTGAGAAAACTCTGTGCACCTGAGAAAAGACATGAAAACATTAATTATCTCCATCCAGAAAAAAAACTAATTATGATGCAGTATCAGGTTGTGTGCACGAAGTCTGCAGAATCCCCAATGGAGAATGTTGTGTATCTCACCAGATCTGGGATGCATGCAGTATTCTAAGTGCAGTATGTCACAACATTTAGCTCAGTGGATTGCTTCAAAAAAGTCCTGGATTATTTCCTGGATACACAGAATATAAATGGATACTAAGGTTTATAGGTAAAGTTGATCCAGGGAATATCCGATTTCCTCTCGGGGAATCAGGAAGGAATTTTTTTCCCAGCAGGAGCAAACTAGATCATGCTTTGCTGGGTTTTTTTGCCTTCCTCTGGATCAACTGTGGGTGTAGGATTATAACTTTTTTTTTTCTATGTTTGAACTGGGTGGACTTTTGTCTTTTTTCAGCCAGACTAACTATGTAATTTACAACATTTATTAGGGAGCAATGTAAAAGCACTCACATGGTGAAAAAGGTAAGAAAGCTCAGGTAAGTGGGGTATAGACCAAGTTCACGCTGCAATAGCCGCATCCTCGCTAAGGAAACTAAGGAAACCCATTGTGTGTAGGGTCTAGTACAGCAATGGGCAAACTACGGCCCATGGGCCGTATAAGGCCCGGCGGACCTTTTAATCCGGCCCGCGGAGCTAGGCTCCTCTCACAGTCCGCCCTGAAGACCGGTGTAGCATGAAAATCCGTCTCCTATGAGGATCTGTCCCCCTCGACGTATCTGCGCATGTGCCGGAGATCGCCGATCGGCTGCTAATGCCTGAAACTGGCACATGCGCAGATACGTCGAGGGGGACAGATCCTCATAGGAGACAGATTTTCATGCTACACCGGAACGGCACGGGGCACGGCGAGAGGAAAGGTAAGTCAAAACGTTTGCCCACCCCTGACCTAAGGCCTCCTGCACCCTAATTATGAGAGTTTTCCTGAACAATATACTAGACCAGAGGTGGGCAAACTTTTTGACTTGAGGGCCGCAATGGGTTCATATATTGGACCCGGGGGCCGGACCAAGAGTAGATGAATGATGTGTATGTGTCATCCATAGTAAGTATAGTAATATTCCCCCTATAGTAAGCATAGTAATTAATCCCCCATATAGTAATTCATCCCCCATAGTAATTCATCCCCCATATAGTAATTCATCCCCCATATAGTAATTCATCCCCCATAGTAATTCATCCCCCATAGTAATTCATCCCCCATATAGTAATTCATCCCCCATAGTAGTTCATCCCCCATATAGTAGTAATTCATCCCCCATATAGTAATTCATCCCCCATATAGAAATTCATCCCCCATAGTAATTCATCCCCCATATAGGAGACAGATTTTCATGCTACACTGGTCTTCAGGGCGGACTGTGAGAGGAGCCTAGCTCCGCGGGCCGGATTAAAAGGTCCGCCGGGCCGTATACGGCCCGCGGGCCGTAGTTTGCCCATTGCTGCCTTAGGTTATTACCTGAGGCGGACCTCTCAAAAAAGGAAAAAAAATTGCTAGGCAGATTTTCATCTTACACAATTAAAGCATCAAAGAGGGCTTACAGTGCAGGCTCCAGACAACAATCCATTTATTACAGTTATATCAGGCTGGCCCTTGCACTAAGTGTACTTGCCTTGGAAGAATAAATCACCTCTAATGTTGGTTGTCGTACATGTATGGATGTTGATGCATTATATAAAACTATTAGAATAGTTTTTCACATTTTAGAATGGGGTGCCCTTTTAAAATTGTGGACAGTCTTCAGGAACCCTATTTTAGAATGGGGTGCCTGAAGACTGTCCATAGTTTTAAAGGGTGCCTAGTGATTGTCCATACTTTTAAAGGGTGCCTCGGGACTGTGCATAATTTTAAAGGACGCCTTAACTGAAAAAAGGTTGAGAAACACTGGACTAGCCTATGAGAAGACACTACAAGGTGTCTACTATTACCTCTGAATGTCTTTTCCTAACACCCCCCTCAATAATTCTGGGTTGACTGTTTCACTGAGGGCTTGAGTTTACCAACTTGGGTTCAAACCCCAAATAGTCCCCTGTAAAACTAAAGAAGTTCATCAGCCAATAAGAGCACTCTTATTGGACAAGGGGATAGCAAGTGGGCAGGGCTTAGCAGAGACTCACCCCCAGTAAGTAAAAAACTGAAACCAGACTCAAAGGGTCATGGATAAGGGATTCTTCACATCAGAGCTCTAATATCCTTATTTTTATAAATTATTTAGACCTGAAAATAAATATTCAGCATGTCGGGTATGAACTGCGACTGATGTTACAGATTTAATCATATCAACATGCTCGCTGCCAAACATGTACCACTGTACCACCCATATTCTACAAAGCTATCCAAGTGAATTTAAATTTTTGGTAAATTATGGCCAAAAATTGGCCTTGGTCTAATGGCCAGCGTCTGTCAGCACTATACAGATGAATCATATAGCAGCGATTTTATTTCTCCCAGATATCACTCATGTGTATAGGTGAGGTTTTATTCCTGCTCTGAGTACATTGCTGTCCTATGATTACACATAATGTTTAAAACATTTGTCGGAGTTATGCGCAAAGCCGTCTTCAATCAGACATATTTATTGTGTGTTTTAAACATTTGAATGCAGTTGTGTCTGGCCGCGGCTGAGCAGGTGTCACTTCTGCCTTGAAGAGTAATTGGCCGTGCAGCAACTGTTGAAAGAAGGCTAATGGCTGCTATGGAGGCTGCGGAATACAAAACTGGGATTTAGATTTTCCAGCTGCTGGGCAGACCTGCACCTTACTTACAATGACGGATTTCTGCTCCAAGTCCACTCCTCCAGCAATGCTAAAGCCCAGTCCGGCTCCCTCTTCTTTATTCAGTACCACAAAATACACATCTTCCTTCCGCTGTTGGAGATAAATGGGATACCATTGTCAAAACCAGCATTGTCACTAACATTATTCCTATACAGAATTTACATCAATCAGCCATAATATTATGACCACTGACAGGTAAAGTGAATAACATTGATTATCGTGTTACAATGACATGTGAATGTGGGTGGGATAAATTAGGCAGCAAGTGAACAAGTTGTACTGGAAGCTGATGTGTTAAAAGCAGAAAAAATGAACAAGCATAAGGATCCGAGCAACTTTGACAAGACGAAATTTGTAATGATCAGACAACTGGGTCAGAGCAACTCCAAAACTGCGGCTCTTGTGGGATGTTCCTGGCCTGCAGTGGTGGGATGTTCCTGGCCTGCAGTGGTCAGGTCCAAACAAAAGTGGTCCAAGGAAGAAAAACTGGTAAAACAGTAACAGGTTCATGGGTGGCTAAGGCTCACTAGTGCATGTGGGGAACGAAGGTTGGCCCTTGTAATCCGATTCTATCTGAGAGCTACTGCAGTTCACACTGCTGAAAAGGTTAATGCTGGTTTAGAAAGAAACCTGTCAGAATGCGCAGCACACTGCAGTTTGTTGTGTATGGGGCTGCTTGGGATCTGTCAGGGTGCCCATTCTGACCCGTGTCCACAACCAAAAGTACCTAAAATGGGCACATGAGAATTAGAACTGGACCACAGAACAATGAAGGAGGTGGCTTGGTCTGATGAATTCAGAAATGGTTTGAGGAACACAACAAGTTTGAGGTGTTGACTTGACCTCCATATTCTCCAGATCTCAATCCAATCAAGCATCTGTGGGATGTGTGGAAAAACAAGTTCGTCCATGGAGGCCCCACATTGCAACGGACTTAAAGAAACTGCTATTGACGACTTGGTGCTAAATACCACAACATACCTTCAGATGTCTAGTGGAGACCGTGCCTCGATGTGCTATGGTGGGTGGTCATAATGTTATAGTTTCCCATTAGCATTGGTTTTGCTGTTTTTGCAATCCCCTAGTTGGCTGTGAGAGTACTTATCTTTCCAGCACATAAGGGGTGTGCATTTGTCAATTTTGGCCCCACTCATTTGTTCATTTGTTAGGAGTAGGGAAGCCTTCGATACCCGACTATTTAAGCAGTGACATGGCATGAGATTGGGTTGAGTTAGCTCTAAGGAAGGGGGCTAATTCCCTGAAACACATCATCCTTTTAACATTACAGAAGCATTACAGTTGCAAGCCTCAATAGAAGCACCTTAGCTTGAGTGCTGGAGTGTTTTGGAGGTTTTAGTGGCTATGTTTATTCTCTATGGTCCCCTTGTATGTAGGAACATAGATTCCCTCTCTTGATCATGCCTGAGATGGACTACGGGAGTTGTAATGTACATAGAGCAGTACACAAAACCCCAACTAACAAGCAATGCTTGTCCCAAACAAATCGATAGGGAGAAAAATAGAGGCATAGCGCCAACCTTTTTGCCCAGAGCTTTACAACGTGAGAGCAGACAGTACAATTACAATACAATTCAACACAGTAGGAAACAGAGTGCCCTGCTCGTTAGAGCTTACAATCTAAAAGGGAAGGTCAATTGATACAAAAGGTAATACCTCTGGAGGATGAGCTAATGGAGAAAATAAAGTACAGATATTAAGTGGGGGCAGGAAAGGCTGGTCTGAAGAGATGGGTTTTCAAGTATTGTCTAAATGTAAACAGAGTAGAAAACAATTGGACAGATTGGGATTGGAAATTCCATAGGAATAGAGAGACTCTGGAGAAGTCCTGGAGGTGAGCAGGAGAGGAGGTGACAAGGGAACTAGAAAGCAGGAGGTCTTAGAAGGAACAAAGAGAACAATTAGGTTGGTATTTTGAGACTAGGTTAGTGATGTAGCTGGGGGCGAGTTGTGGATGACTTTGTAAGTTGTTTTTAGTATTTTGACTTGAATTCATTGAGCAGAAGCCAGTGGAAAAATTGGCAGAGAGGAGTAGCAGACGTTGCACGTTTGGTAAGGTGGATGAGTTGGACTGAAGAGGGGATAATCTATGTAAGGGTAATCCAATGAGAGGGGAGTTGCAATAGTGGAGGCTAGAGATGACCAGGGAGCAGACTAGGAGCTTTGCGGTGTCATTGGGTAGGAAGGAGTGTATTTTGGAAATGTTCCATAGGTTGAGGCAGCAAGCTTTGGAAAGTGATTGGACTTGGGGCCAAAAGGATAGTTAAGAGTCCAGGATAACACCTAGCACCTTGGCATGCGGGACAGGTTGATAGTTGTTCAGAGCTATAACAGCCTCCAGTCTTCTTTAGAGGTTTTCCACAAACATTTGGAATGTGTCTGTGGAATCTCGGCCCATTCAGTAAAAGTTCATTGGAAGGGTCAGGTACTGATGTTGGTAACAAGACCTTGCTTGCAATCAGCGTTTCAGTTGATAGTCAGGACTCCACAAACTTTAAACCATGTAATGCATATAGAAACTCTTGGGACATAGACGAGAACTTCTTACTGTGCCCATTCTTTTCCACGAAGCTTCCAAATCAAACATATAATTCTTATTCCATATAAATCCCCTAAATAGACGTACAAATTATGATGATAACCTTGTGAAATTGAGAGATTGTTTTCCAGGCTGTGGCCCCAGGAAACAAGATACCTTAATAATCCAACACTAGGTACCTTGAGATACGAAATGACTGGCCTTGTAAAACAAAGATACACACTTACATGAAAAAAAAACATAAAAAAACAGCATATAAAGCAAGTATGAAACCTACATAAATGTTAGACCTGAGCTCTGTGAACAATTGAATGCATCCACACAGCCCAAGGCAATAATTATAAGACTGTCCTTAGGGTTAATCACAGCCCCACTGAACAAGAAGAAGGATATTCATCTTGACCGCTAAGCCACATTACAGCAAAAGCATCAAATACCACATATCTAAACCTGCCAACAAGACTGTATTTATTGCAAAAGGCAACCCAACACTGGCTATAAACCTTAAAATATTAGGAACTGAAACATGGACTATCAACCACAAATGAGACAAATTATCATCTAGTGATAAAGAAAAAAGATTTACTCTAATGAATATGGATTTGTCAGCAAGAAGACATAAAAGAGACCAAAATGAGAACACATTGAATATAAACACAGGGTGATCCATAAAGGGGGTCAACCCAGGGCTACATTCTCATAGCAAAAGTTACACACCTTAGTATTTGCCATCGTATCCCAAGATAATAGAGTAATGTCTTTCATTTATCCTGAAAAATAGCTCACATGCCTCAAATGCAATATGACTAATACTTAAGCAAAACAGAGATGGAAAATTCAATTATCCGCCTATGTCATGTCTCATTTAGAAACTCTAAATGTCTACCTAACTCACCATGTAGAGTTATTGAAAGGCGGTCTTTTATTTACCACTTTATTGCAAAAAATTGGGGATGGTGGTGTACCGAAGGTCAATTTTTGGTTTTAAAGTAGAACTCCAGCTGCAGGTTAAAGCTAAAGCTGACTATACACTTTTTTTTCTTTCAGCCAGCAGGCTGAACGAAAAAAAAGCTAACAGATATGTCCATCCTCACAAATGAGGTGGATGGAAGGATCCCCCTTGCTGGGACATTACTGTACCCACTGCTGTCAGAATAGACTTGTCAAACATCGAGAAACGTTTTACATGTTCCTCCAAAAGAAGTCGATCAAATGATAGATGTCAGGCAAGCAGAGATGGTCACACACTAATTGGGATTCAGTAGCACTGGCTGAATAACAATCAATCTATAGACAGCTTAATTGTATAGAGCAGTCAGCGCTAATGCGGTCTGTTTCGGCACCCAATAAATAACTACCAACACTTTTCTGGAGCTATGGCTCTTTAAAATGGCCTATGCCAGATTTAAAATTCCTGCTGCCGGTTTCAGTAACTTTACATTACATTTGACAGATTCAGGTAGTTCTTAATAGCACCACTTATACAAAGTGTCACGTTTAATGTATCAAATTTAGGAATAATTACCTCTAGTTTGTAAAGAATGAAGATAATGAAACTGGAGGTAATAAAGACCAACTTTAAGTTGGCGTACAGAGACAGGAAGAGTGCCTGTCCCTGCACATAGTGTAGCAGTGCAGCATATTTGCCGCATATTTGCCGCAGCTATCCATTTCCTGTCACTGGTCATTAAAGAAGCTGTCGGCTTCACAGCTGACAGCCTCCTAGCGACCAGTGATGCTGAAGTGGGTGGAGTCCGATGGGGAAAATAAGACACTAGTTCTATATCACATCTGTTCTCTCTTCGAAACTGACAGCAGGCAGTGGGTGAATTCCATAGACAATAGCAGGCGGTGTATTGGTTAGGGATCTGTCCACTGCCTGCTTTCAATCACATGAAGACAGACCTGATAGGGAACTAGTTTTTGTGTATTCCCAGCAAACTCCACCTCTAGATACAAACCCCCCAAAAGAAAGTTCCTCCACACACTGTGCATGCTCTAGATTCATGTACCTGTCTACAAAAGGAATCTATCGCCCACACCGTTTGTCATGTGAAGGCACACCAGAGTGTTTTAGACACTCTCAATGAATCTCACTGTATTTCTGTTATCAGTTTGTTGTCACTACCAGCTCAGCTCTGAAGAAGGGGATTACCCCTGAAACGCATCAGTTTCCAACTGCTTGGGTCATGAATAGATGACGCTACCTACAGCTGGAGTTGTAATTTGATACGTCTGTTTTTACATGTGTTTGTGGGTATGCAATTGTTTTTAGATCCAATAATTGCTGATGGTGGTAATGTGCTAGGCGTTTGCACCCTTCTGTGTGTGTTTTTGCAGTTTGTTGTCACTACTACCTGAGTTCCTCAGTGGCCTTGAAATGTTGCTTTCTGTGGGAGATGTGCAAATAAGTGGCCAAGAATACCCAAAATGTTTCAATAAAAGTGGAACCCTGTGGCTTCTCATTTTTCTTGGATACTCCCACAGTGTGACTACTCTGCATTAGTTTCTGTCCACCTGGGAAATTTGGGTT